TTTTTTCATACAAATGTTTTTTCCCGCTAACTACCGTTCCCGTGAGAATTTTGCAATAACCTGTTGTAACTAAGCTTTAAATTTACTAAGGTACCTACATGCCAAATTTCAAGCGTCTATCTTACGTGGCTTAGATTTTTTCATACAAATGTTTTTTCTCGCTAATTTCCGTTCCCGTAGGAATTTTGCAATATCCTGTTATAACTAAGCTTTAAGTTTACTAAGGTACCTGCTTGCCAAATTTCAAGCGTCTAACTTAAGCGGTTTAGATTTTTCATACAAAAGGATTTTCCCGCTAATGCCCGTTCCCGTGGGAATTCCTAAGTATCCTATAACCTGCCCAGGAGTATGAAGAATAATTGTACCAAGTTTCGTTAAAATCCGTCGAGTAGTTTTTGTTTCTATAAGGAACATACATGTACAGACAGACAGACAGACAGACAGACAGACAAAAAATTTACTGATTTCATTTTTGGCATCAGTATCGATCACTAATCACCCCCTGATAGTTATTTTGAAAATATATTTCATGTACAGAATTGACCTCTCTACAGATTTATTAAGTATAATTATAGACAGAAAAAGTTTATGGAACTAAAGTTGAAAATAAACAAAGGATTTCAGCAATTCTTTGAAAATGAACATGAAATCATTAAAGGTAATTTACTAGAAAAAGTTTTTAACTTCATTAGGTACTTTGACTAATTACTGAAATAATAAATGGCTTTAATGACATAAGATAATAAGCATTGTTTTTAATTGGTATTAGAGGGGGTTGGTTGTAGCATTTAAAATAATTTGTTTAAAATTAACAAAGTAATTTTCACATTATCATTATATTGCAGGCATAAACTAATAATTATAAACAGACATAAAGTAATTAAAAATATAATGTTCTTCCATATTCACTTTAATTATTTTGCAGCATTTCTCGTTAAAAAACCGTATGAATCACACTAGCACGAACCGTACGAAAACCATTTAAATTCGAAGAAGTGTGTAACGATGCATTGTATAGCTGTTTACATTTTCCATGAAAACGCGTAACGGAACGCAGAGTTATTCGTCCGTGAATGGCCGGTAGCGCGGGAAGCCAACTGTGGAAAAAAATGGCGCCAAGCAGTGGATTGGCAAATTCCGGGGCAAGTTCTGGCTGTATGGCGTTGTTCCTTTGCATAAAAGTAAATTTTAAAAAAATATGGAAAAAAAAAGTCTACGATTTGGAGATTCCATGTAAAAAAATAATAAAAACTTTTTTTACTACATGAAATTTTCGCGAGCTTGTAGTAATTATAGGTAGAACCAATGATATTAAAGAATTGTTTTTATATAATATCATTGGGTAGAACTGTATAGTTACTCAATTTTGTAATCGATCATGCAGTGAATGTACTTAATGCGAGCTTAAATCTATATTTTACCGTTATAAAAGAACTCCGTCATGCTTCGAAAAGCACAAGCCGTCGGGATCCAGTTGCTGCTTATGTGTTAAATAGTTTTTTAATTAAGTAGTGAAACAATCTTATTAATTTGCAAGTTAAGCAGCTTTTAACATGTTTATCTCCAAAATCATCCACAAAAAATGCATGACTCTACATGAATTTTGCTAAGCATTGTATAAANCAGCTCCCGCTGTACTCTGGATGCCCATGGGTTGAGCAGGCAAAACATTTATGTTCGACATTATTGCTCCCACAAAACCTTTGCTCGGTAAGATAAAAAAGCTTTATTGGAGGTTACTATCCTTGACACCAGCAATCAATATTAATTTGTATTACACTTAACAACGATCACAAAAATTAATTCGTTTATTGTTTTTTGTAACAACAACGCACCATGCAACACAAAACGAAACGACGAACGAACACATTTGATTGACTTGACAGACAACAGACAATTTTGACACTTGTGTGGGCTGACATACTCTCCAATCTGTGGGCTGCTGCATGAAGCTATAGATGAAAATGGAGGCCACACTCTGAATACCTACTTGAAGCATAAACTATGTATCACTATCTCGCTCTCTGTGGGCAAACTCTCTCTTTCTAAATAAACAAAAAATATAAATTTTCTCAAATTCAATGAAACTCAATGTAAAATCTTTATTTCTTGACATAGGTATCATTAATAAATGATAAGTGTAAATACTGGTAAAACTTAATAGGAAGAAATTATTGTAAAAAATGTGAAAAATGTTTACAATGATCCAATGTCGGAAATCACGAAATAAACACCTACGCGTGGAATCTTATTTCACTTCCAGGACACCACGTACTACCGCAACCACGCACTACAAAATTTTGCACCATTTCTTGTGATAAAACAATGATTATTTCCTGTAAACAATCTCGAACGAAATTAACTGCATAATAAACAAAATAGTAAACAACCGCCATGATGGGCCGTATTGGGCCGATGTTGCCACATGGTACCGATTCCCCAGGAATTGGGATTGTAATTCCCTGATTCGCCAACACATTAAACGTAAACGGTGGACAATTTTGTGATTTTTAATTCAACTAGGTAATCGTAGTTCAAATATTTAATTATTTATTTGTTTAACCTTGATTTGGTTAGTGATTTGGCTATTTCGAAGAATTTACTAGAAGATTTAAGTCAGGAGATAGCAATGCTACAGTCCACGCTAAAAAGAGAGGTCGGCCCACAGAGAGCGAGATAGAGATAAGTAGGTATTTGACTCAAGTTTTTGTTCCAAGTCTGGCCTCCATTTTTATCTTTAGCTTCATGGTATAAACCAATGTTTGTAAAAGTCTGTGGTCAGCAAAATACTTTCCGAGTTTCGGAACGTAACACTTGTTGCGCGCGAAGAAAAAAAGAAAAGTGCACTGTCGTTAATCATAGCGCGGGAAAACCGGCGCCCACAGATAACCGAAAAGCGGACTCCGCTGTCGAAGTTTTTTCTTTTAAGCTGTCTGGGTTACGCCGCCGTGTGCATTTTTTGAGGAAAAAATGCAAAATGCATGTTAGGTTGGAAGTTGAAAAATAACCATGATCCTATTTTTCTAACGGGAAGCGAATACGAATGATTGAGTTTGTTTATGAATTCCCTAAATTGGATTTTATCGTCAAATATTTTAACAGTATGGTTAACAACGAAGTAAAAGGGCTGAATTTAAGCTCTTTTGAACATTTAAATAATTTTGTGACCACTTGTTTTCAGTAAGTTGTAGTAGCAGTTTGGTAGAGCAGGGGATTCTTCAATATACAAAGTTTAAAATCTAGTTACAGTAAGGAAGAAAAGGCCAAGAACTGAGGATGTTCAATTTGGTTTTGGTAAATAAATACTACTAAGGTTCAGTACACGTAATAATCAAGAAGGGGTTAAAAAAAACATGTAACGCCATTTTAAGCTATTCATGTCGTCCAATGGATATTTTTTTTTTCTGTCATAACCATTCCAATTAGATTAGTTTTCTTTACATTAACTTAATCTTACAAAAGTGTTTTATCGGAAAGTCTGGAAAATCGTAAGCTCTACGATTTTACTCCCAAAACGGAATTTTCACGTCGCCATGTGCGGTACACGATCGCACCTCGATCCGTCGAGTATTTTTTCTCGCAAAACGACAAAAGCGAGTGACAGCTACAATGACGGCAGTGCGAAACACAGCCGCATCTCAGCAACAAGTGCCAGGGGTGCGAGGGACGCTCAACTGGGGCCGCGAGTTTAGTTTGGGATGGGCTGCGAAATTCCAGGACTTTCTTTGAAATTGTAACTAAATGTTACGTATCGAATGTTTTTGAAACTTTAATTTATTAAGTTAGATTTAAAAACTGTAATTAAATTAACGATATTATATTTAATTTAGTAATCTTTTTTAAATGCGTTTTTTATAAATCCAAAAATTGTTATAAATCCATCTTAAAACATCTTGTATAATAAGTAAAAACATTAATTAAACAACTTAAAAAGAAAAGAAAAGAATGAAACTTTCTTTAATAAGGATGATTAAAAGTTTTCCAATTGCTTCGTAATCAACTCAAACAAAACAAAGTTAATTTCATCGCACAGTTCGTCAGAGCGTCTCGTGCTTGGAAAAAATGAATCCTGAAAATAGGCTTCTTGAAACATCACTGGATAAAATAAAATTCACGTGCCATATAGCAGGGATAAATATCAAAAACAGCAAAAATAGTCTGAAATTTACTTTAATCTACCTTTTTAATTTGCAATGGCTTAACTTTGACCTGGCAGGCGCCATTTGGTGTCTTGCGATGGGAATTAAAGAAGGAAAAAATTTTGCCGAGATAACTTACTGTGCTCCTTGTATAACTTTTAGCTTTCTAGCAAACTTTAAATCGCTCGCCGTTGTATTAAACGAGAAAAAACTCCAACAATTGATTAGTACTCTCAAAGAAATGGAAGTTAAAGATCAACTGCGCCAGAAAAAAAAGGAAAATGATAAAATCTACAAAGATGAGATAAGTTTTCTGCACAGTCTAATAAAAGTGTTGCATATTGCTTACTCAGTTTTAGTGATGATGTTTTTGGTAAATCCATTGATTTTAATTGGCTACAAGTACTACCGGACAAAGGAATGGGATCTGGTGTTACCATTTCTGATTTTGTACCCTTTTGACTCGCATGACATAAAGTACTGGCCTTTTGTTTACTTGCATCAAATTTGGTCAAGTAAGTATCGTAATAATTTACAATATTTTTATATTAGAAATGAAAAAAATATCCGGTTGTAAACATTACCTATAACATGATATTATTAATACCTTCATACAAATTCCTCTAAAATTGTTAATTCTTTTTTTAATATTACAACTTTTTTGTAAAACTAATTGCTCATTAGTTTGTTCTCATCATTCTAATAATATACAATTTTCATTTACAGATGTCGTAGTAAACGTTTACATATGTTCGTCAGATTTTATTTTATACACTTGCTGCACATTTATCACCATACAATTCCGTCTTCTACAAACTGAAATAAAAGACTTAGTTAAGGAGAATACAACATTGAAAAACTTCAAGACCAGTTTTCGGGAGATGGTAATGTGGCATCAAGATTTGATAAGGTAAAGAATGCTTAAATTAAATTAATAGTCCTAATTATTAGAAAGAAAAAACAAAATATTAGAAAGAAAAATATTTTCATAGAAAAAGAATACATAGCTACTGAACAAAAAAATACGGCATCAAATTGTACACAATTTTTTTTAACTTGGCGTTAAAGTGCGTCGTCTGATGTGTCCGCGGACGAAACTTGATTTTAATTGGAGAGGTGTTGAATTTTATTTTGCAGGTGTACACAGACACTTGAAGTTATTTACTCCAAGAGTATTCTCTTCAACTTCATATCAAGCTCCGTTTTAATTTGTCTGACTGGATTCGATGTGTTGGTAAGTATACCCGTGATACTTTTCTAAATTCGTTGCATCCAACTTGTTTTTTTGACAATTCAACTTTTTTTTAGGTATTGACAGACAAGATTATGGTTATCTCGTTCGTATCATTTCTATTGACAAGTCTACTGCAAATTTTCTTCGTGTGTTTCTTTGGAGATCTATTGATGAGATCGGTAATTTCTAATATTTGGGTCATTCCACCGGCCAAGAAAATCACCTGTCCGGGGCCAAAAAGTACCCGAATATCATAATATTTTAGTAACAAATATTTTTATCTAATAGTATAACTTTGGTTCTAGTTGTTAAACCACAGAGATAGTTAATAATAGTTAATTAAGTAATTTAAAAAAAATCGTAAGTCGTCAAAAATTGATTACCACGACGTGTCCGCGCTCCCGATTTCAGAACAAATTTGCTCGTATAAATTAATCCGTTATTATTACCGCTTTCAATGCTTATGTAATCGATTACTGATTAAATAAACATTGATAAATTAAATACGATATAACTATATGACTAAAAGGTTTTGTAAAATAACTATTTGAAGTTGTGTCCGGGCGTTAACCGTGATTACCCCGACACGTCACTAATGTGCGCCTACGTCCCTAGCTACGCAATTTAGAAACGAGCTCTATCCTCCCCCGTGAACCTTTAGTGGTGGCCTGCGTGCCGAGGTGATCGGTAATGCAACTCGTCGCAGGATTTCGGAGTTATCGAGATAAGAATATGATTACCCCGACCTTGGTTCAGTGCACGATTGATTTACTCTATCCTGTTTTTTTAGGTTTCTTTACATGGAAAGTTCTTGAGAATGTACAGGAATAATGGTCCATGTAACCGCATTTTTGTGTATTAAAACATATGGGATTCAACTTACAGATTGGGCAGGGCTCAGGATAAACCTTAATTTTTTGACTACCCCGACCTTGATTACCCCGACTTTTGTCACCGAGTAATCAATAATACTGTAATTTTACTAATGAATGATTAACTAAATAACGTTTAATAAGCAAAATTACCCTTTACTAAAATGAAATCCTATCTCCTATTAATACATAATATTATCCCTCAAAATTGGCAAGACCCCTGGACTCGACCTTATCACCGCTGAAATGCTGTAAGCCGATGTAAACTCCGCCGTTAACGTCCTGACACCTGTCTTCGAAAACATCTGGATGGAAGAGGAACTCCCAGACGACTGGCATAAGGGGCTTCTAATTATTGTGCCGAAAAAAGGGTAAAGCAAGGGTATCAGTACCGGAAGACCCAAGAGATGCGATCTGGAGTGAGGAATTGCACACCGTTGGTGCAGAGGATGTCCAACGAGTCCACAATTTCACTTACCTCGGGAGCATCGTTTCAGAGCCTGGAGGTACCGAAGAGGACATCACTTCGCGCATTGCCAAGGCCAGAGCTACCTTCGCACAACTTCGAGCCGTATGGCAGTCACGGAAATTGACCCAAGCAAGATCAAAATATTCGGGTCCAACGTCAAACCAGTTCTGCTCTATGGGCGTGAAACGTGGAAGGTCACTAAGGTTATCTCGCACCAGCTGCAGATCTTCTTCAGCCGCTGTCTTCGCCGAATTCTCCAAAATCTTCAAACGACGAACTTTTGGAACGCTGCCACGAAATACCGATCTTTCAGCAGAATAAACGCTGCAAGTGGAACTGGATCGGCCACACTCTCCGAAGGGACCCCGATCACATCCCCAAGCAGGCTCTAGATTGGAACCCCCAGGGAAAATGCAAACGTGGTCGCGCCAAAAAAACATAGCGGCGCACTGTTAAGACTTGGAGCGAGATCAAACACGAAGCTCAAGACCGAATGCGATGGAGGACTGTTGTGGACGCCTTCTGTCCCATATAGGAGACATAGGACATTGAGTCACTAATATTATATGTATAATATATTTGTATGTTTTTTACTCTTTTACGCAATAACTACTTAACAGATTTTGTTGAAACTTTACAATATTGTCGTTTATACATCAAAATAACAAATGGCTAGTTATAATAACATTTATTTTACCATAACTTAAAAAAACCTTAGAAAATAAAATATTTTGTTTTATTTTTGATTACTCTGACTCCCAACTTTGATTACCCCGACCATGAAAATTTTGATGTCGCATAACTTTTTATTCCTGCTTGCTACAGATGGGCCAATATAAAAAATATGCTCGTAATAATGTCTATTTTGAAATGTTTTACCTAAACTTACTCTAAATTCAAAAATAAAAAAGGTCGGGGTAATCAACAAAATAATCCAGATCCGGAGAATGACCGATTTGATCGAGATCGAAATTTATTGAATTCGAATTTTAATGTTTTTCTTTTGTTTTCGTAGAGCATGGGAGTCGGTGATGCTGCTTACAAGTGCCTATGGTATGGTAAAGAGCCAATTATCGGCAAAAATTTGCTTTTGATATTGATAAGATCAAGCAAGCCCTGCAAGATGACTGCATACGGGTTTGCTGATGTAAACCTAACGGCATTTATGAGGGTGAGTGCGTAAATCAATAAAATCAAATAAAAATAAAAGTTATTTATTTCACTATTGAGAAAACTTTTTTTTTCAGATCCTAAGTAACGCCTGGTCGTACTTTGCATTGCTGAAAACTATCGTATTCGGTTGATGGTGTACGGCATCTATAAGTATATTTTTATGTTTAAAAACGCATGCAGTTAATTAAATCTAGCTATGAAATAATTGTAATACTTATCTAATTCTGTAGTACTTAAATAAATGAACATCACAATTGATATCTTTTAATAATTTGCAAGACTCACGAAAACTCCCGAAACTGTTGGCCCCCACTTGCACCTCCCTCAAGATACGACAGCAAAAACCGACCACGCTTCCCGGCCCGCGATCCGAGCGCTCACCTGAGTAATGGCGTGCGGTTACTCTATGCACAGCATATCAAGCTTGACACTTGCACCTTATTTAGTTGGGATAGGTGTTATTTTGCAACTAAAATGCATAATTTCATGTGCAAAGTGTCGCTTGACGACGTGGAAAATTGATTGTTTATTGCGAGTTGCATGTTAAGGAGGATTTAGTTTCATCTAAAGGAGCATTCGGATCAGAAATGAGGAGATCCGTAAAAGAACTAAGGTCGCTGACATAGCCCAACGGATTAGCAAGCTGAAGTGGGAATGGGCAGGGCATATAGTACGCAGAACTGACGGCCGATGGGGCAGCAAGGTTCTGGAGTGGAGGCCACGTACCGGAAAGCGCAGCGTAGGACGTCCACTCACAAGGTGGACCGACGACCTTATAAGGTAGCGGGTAGGCGCTGGATGCAGGCCGCCGCCAACCGGCCATTGTGGAAATCATTGGAGGATGTCTATGTTCAGCAGTGGACGTCCTTTGGCTGAAATGATGATGATGATGATGAAAGGAGCATTTCGTAGTTCCGTACTCCAGCGTGGAGCTGCTATAGTAATGGCGTGCGGTTAGCTACTTTATGCACAGCATATCAAGCTTCATATGCACCTTATGTAGTTGGAAAAAGTGCTAATGCATTCTCATGTTGTACAAAGTGAGACGGTTCTAATGCGTTTGACGACGTGGAAAAGTGTTTGTTTAATGCTAACGCTTCATATTATTACAGGATTTAGTTTCACCTAAAGGACCATTACGTATTTCTGCAGAACACTGTAAAGTACTTACCAACACTATAGGGCAGGATTTCCCAATTTTTTTTTCGAAGGAACCCTAATTGATTATACTTTTCCTAGCGGAAACCCCGTACTACTCCGCCCGCACGCCCTGCCCCTCCCTTGTGCGTAAACAAGTCGGTGCGCACAACGTCGGTCACGAAACGTGGGATAATATTTTTTACGGAACCCTTGCGGCCTTTCCACGGAACCTCAGGGTTCCGCGGACCACCTTTCGGGAACCGCTGCTATAGGGTATCCTTGGGTATACCTATTCGTTCGTATACTTTGGATCGTCTTTATGGAGAATTTAGATAATGGAGTCTATTTCATCAAATTCTTAATGTTTCTAAAATATTTACAACTGACGGTTGTTGCACCTAAAGTACTTATTATAGATATTTTTTTAATGCTAACTTAAATATTTTTTTTTGTTTTCTTGTACATTTTTTTATTATCAAATTGAAATAGTAAATTCATGGGTATTAGGTATTACGTGGCATTCAGTTTTACAAAATTATGAAGCAGAATATTCAGAATTTGTACCTATTGTAAGCCTACTTATATAATTCATTATTATATTTATATATTTTCAACGTGTGTATAGATCTGATAATAATAGTTTTATTTAATATTGTAAGTTAACCTTGATTATTGAATGCAATTATGTAATGATATCGACTACTTCCGTTTCTTTAGGAAATACTTCATAGTTTTGTTTATACAATTTATTAACGTGCTGTAGGTAATTGATTATTATTATTAAATTATTTATTAAATTATTATTGTAAATAAATACAAATAAATCAAAGTTATGAAGTATTGTAATTAATAAAGACAGTGTATTGATACCCGCGGTTGTCGATAGTTCTGTGCCATGGCGGCATTCTTGTTCGAGCTGTGAAACGAATTGTATTGCACAAGAAAATATACGGAGTGATTGGTGAAATAACTGTGTTTGAGTTTCTACGTCTTCCATTTCTGAGGCTGTCCCATAGCTTCAGAAGTGGGATCGACGAAAACAATTATAGTTTTCGATCTACGCCTACATAGGAGAAACGTAAGTACCGCTGTTTTATATTTGCAATTACAAGTGTGTTTATTATATTAAATTCGATAAGAGGAAATACAAGTAATTTATTGCGTGATTGTTTACGATTTTTTTTTCTTGAACTTTTTTTTACCTTGCCTCATTTGACGCCGTATTATTCCTATTCGTACATTTAAAATTATTATGAAAGTGAGACCGAGTTGCTTTAACTAGAAGTACTAGAAGTAAATCAACGAGTAAACAATCACGTTTTAACTAACTATTAGACGCTAATATACTTAGCAAGTTAGGAGCTGGATTCCTACTAAGGTAAATATACCCTTATATAGAATTATTACGTGTACTGGCGTTCGTCTGGCACTGGTAGTTTGCGTGCGAGACAAATAGCTACGGTTGCGGGTTCGAAACCCCGCAGGATACAAATATTAGGCAAGATAAGCAATAGAAATAAAACCAGACAGTACTATTAAAATCTTAGTTATGGGGTTTTCTTTTTTTTTTAAATCTGGTAATGATAATTATTTCACAAAACAATTATATGGTTAGGTTTACCTACTTTCTTCGTCAATAAGAGTCAAATTATACGATAATTCTGTGGTTAAACGTATCTACCTGATCAGATATTTATTTTATCTATCAGATAATTATTGTTAATCTCGATATTAGACAACGGCTATGTTGTCCTTGTACAAAATGAAAAAGGGTTGTTTTCGGTTTACTAAGCTGTGATTTGTCAGTTTCAGTTGTTGCAATGGACCGAGATAAAAGGAAAAGTCGAAACTATGAGACTTTTAGTCCAGACCCAGGTGTGCCCAGGTTTGAGGGCCAGGGTCGAGAAGACCCAGGTGTGCCCAGGTTTGAGGGCCAGGGTCGAGAAACGCTTAACTCGAGACAGCGTGAGTCCAGTTTTGCGACGTGGCCAGGAGAACCCAGGTGTGAGGGTCAGGCTAACACGTGGAGACAATCGTCGGAACAACCAGGGGTATCGCGGGCGCGCTTTACCGAGGTTGGTCGGCATGATGGTTCAGATGGAGAGCATCGCGAACAAAAGAGGGCACAATCGAGAAGGGGTCGGGAGAACGAGAGGTCTCTTCGCACACCTTCACGGAGAGAGCGGAGCCGGTCGCCGAGCGCTGCATCTGGTGAACATTACGTCAGAGGGAGAAGCCCGAGTCGGTGCGTGCGGAGACGAGAGGATGAGAAGAATCTGAAGTCGGATTCCAGGTATGAAAGGAAAAGGAGACGTAGTTCGTCACGAGAGTCTGATGAACTACATCCACCTAGTCCTAAGAAATCTAGGGAAACAGATTCGACTGATGCCATATTAAATAAATTTTTGACAATTTTGCAAACAGTTAAGAGTTCAGATAAGTCTAAGTTAACCTTTAATACCAACATTGTACCCGAGTTTGATCCTATGGCAAAGGAACAAACCGTTCTAACGTGGTTGACAAAAGTAGAGGAGTGCGCCGAAATCTACGGCTGGGATGACAGGGAAATAATCCACTACGCTCTCCCCAAGTTAACTGGCGTAGCGAGATCCTGGTATCAAAGTTTACCTACAATGATGTTCACTTGGGCTGAATGGAAAAATAAATTAGTGGAATCTTTCCCTGTTCGCGAAGACTATGCTGAACTCTTGACTGAAATGCTTGCTAAAAAGGTTAAGTACGGCGAATCGCTTGAACACTACTATTATGCTAAAATAAATATGTTAAATCGCTGTAAAATTTATGGGCGACAGGCGGTTGACTGTTTGCTATATGGTGTGGAAGACAGAGCTATAAAAGTAGGTGCACAAGCTGCACAATTTTCCGAACCCGAGCAGGTTTTAAAATATTTTAGAACCGTTAAGGTAGGACATACACGCGACAATCATGACTCGAGTTCTAGGTCCCGTAATGATCGTAAGGGTTTTGTAACTGCAAAACCTGGTAGTTCAAGAATTACTTGTTATAACTGTGATCAAACAGGGCACCCCAGCTTCAGATGCGACAAACCTCCCACAAAATGTACCACTTGCGATAAACTAGGTCACTCGTCAGCTCACTGCTTTAAAAATAAATTCCCAAATAAAGATTGTGACAAAGATACGAATCAAAATAAAGGCAACAATGAAAAACAGGTAGCGCAATTGTGTTCAAATCAAGATGTTACTGCAAAATACATATTTCAAATTAAAATCAATGGCCATTCTATAGATTGTCATTTAGATTTGGGTAGTCAGTGTTCCCTCATAAAACTGACCAAAGCCACGGAACTTAACCTAAAAGTAGTCATGCCAGAGGATTTACCTGTTCTTAGAGGTATAGGTGCTAATTTGATTTCTCCGGTCGGAATGACGACTGTTTCGGTTGAGGTTCAGGGAATAAAGGAATCAATAAACTTGTACGTCGTGGACGACTACGTTATCAATCAGTCAGTTCTTTTGGGGCATTCCTTTACGGAAAAACCCGACATAATCATCACGAAGACTCCTACGGAAGTTATATTTAAAAAAATTCAGTGTGTTAAAATGCATCTTGTAGCAAGTAAAAATGTTGAAATACCGTCGAATACGTTGCGTGTTGTTCAGATTATTTCAAGTCCAGCTGTGAATGCACGTGTCTACGTAAATGGTTCTGTAAGGGGTCCTGAGGGAAAGGAATACTACCTTTTGCCGGGAGAATACGAGGTGAAGGATGGTGTTAGTGCACTTTTAATACACAACGCGTCGCCCAATTCAATCACACTCGATAAAGGTACTCTTTTGACACGTGTACTGTACAATGACACTGAGAAATCAACAACAGTCTTAGACTCTTGTAACGTTACATTCTGTGAAACCCAAAAGAATGAGGCATTAAACTGTAACGACAATTTAAGTGAGGACGAAAAGTTAAAATTACAAAATTTAGTACAAAAATATAATCATTGTTTTTC